CGTTACCCTAGAAGAGCACTTCAGGCTCAAACTGGTGGTTTACTTTGGGTTCCTAGATTCTTTAAAAGTAGAATGGGAGGTAGAGCCTTCATTGTTCTGTGGAACCACCTCCCAGTTTGAATTCGGGAGAAAGACGCCCTCTTTACTTTTAAGATTAGACCTAAAACCTTCCTTTTGGCGAACGCTTATAGTTAGACCTGGATAAGGTGACCCTGAATCCTCCCTTAGTTATGTTGCTATAACCCTAGGCTACGAGGGGCTTCCATTGATCTACTGTTTCTTGTTCACTCACCTTTTTCTCTCTACGTGCTTATCCTGCCCTCACGACACGTGACCATGTGAAGCTAGACAGCAAGCGAACAAAATAGAGATCTTCCACACAAGGCTTGCTTTTCTTGCTTTTAATGAAGATCCTTTAAAGCCTTATCTCTCTCAAGGCTTCTCCTTGCTATTTCTTATTTGTAATTGAAATATACAGAAAATGAAAATAAATTGCTAGCTAATACACATCTTAATGACAAACTTAGCCTAGCTTAACACGTGCGTTACATTAGCATCGCAGTTCACTCCAGGTAAACACATATAAAGGTTGTTTCTGAACATATTAATACTCCAAAGACGAACGTTTCCCAAGGTACAAGCGTGTAGTGCACTCTTAGCGTGTACATGAATTCGTTCACTCTTTTAATACTGCCGAAGCACTTTTCACGGCATTAACGGAGAAAACACGTCAAAGATATGCGAATAATCAGAGCGCTCCCTCGCTCCCGTTTCCGCACGTACAATACAAAGATTGCTTGTGATAACGATGTCTCACTCTGAGCAAATTTCGAACCCAGACATTTTAACTGTTTTTAGCATGAGTTACTTATAATATTTCTTAACTTTGAACTTATTTATCACTTTGCTTATGTAACTTAATCAGACTATGCATTAACTATTGACTTCTGACCAAAAGGCATAACAGTGCTTATGTACTCTGCATTTAATTATTAGCTATTATTAATGTCTGGTTCACTTCCACGGGGTAATTTTTGTCCTGTGTCTCTCCCATCACCTCTGACTGGTCATGGTGACTTACTTAAGATGTTTCGTCTGGATGCAGACAAGGGTTTCAACCAATTTTTGTAAGACTCTGCAGAAATATGTATGGCTGTGCTGAACTTTCCATGAACGGAACATCCTTCCAAGGTGAGGATTATAACACTAAACACAGCAAGATAGCGCTCAAATGAGTAGCAGCTGATCCCATCTACCCCAGAGATTTCCTGCTTTGCGGTATTGTTGTTGAAGAGCATATGGTTTACCATGACTGATGACTAGCACTTGCTGGAAATTGTATGACCTCCGTGATGCTTCACATTAAGTTGGCGGCATTGTGGGTATGCAAAACCCACAGAGTGGTTGAATCAATATTGTCAAACTAAAACAGTCACAGAGGGCCTGTAAAAGAATGACCTAAATTTGAGATGACAGTTTAAATTGGAAAATAAAGTTGGAATTTAACTTCATATCCACAGAAGACACAGGGTGCATGTTTAAAAGAGAGAAACCCATGTGGATTCACCCCCAAATACAATTTGCATTCCAAGACACTTGTGATGGAGCTGTTTTTTTTTTTGTTGCATAAAGACTTAAACATAAGCGGTTAGCCAAAATTACAGGCAACATGCATACAGCTACTATTGGAGACTGATAGAAAGTCTCTCTACAGTGAGTGCCAAACCAAAACTGTTGCACAGACACAAATGCAGGAAATGTGTCTCAGAATAAAAGCTTGCTGAAACACTGCCCTCTGATTGGCATCTACTGCTTAACTTATTATCAGGGATAAGGAAACAAAGTTTTTTGCACACACTGGGTTTTGAAAAGCAAGGAGAAAGAGTAAAGCTTGGATGTTTCTTAAGAAACACAAAGAACTAAAACGGACAACAGAACACTATAATTTAGTGTTGTTTAAAAACAGTAAGGTTGCTGGTTGTAGGAAAAATGTAAAAAGGTATTAGAAGTAACCTAAAGCAGGAAACATTGAAATCTTAGATGGCTCAAGTTTCATACAGCTTTCAGTATCTGCGCTTACTTTTCACAGAGGAAGGTTGAAAACGCTAAATCACGTTAGCATTTCTGTTTAAGCAATTTGTCAGTTTTCAGTTATCCTACATGTAATTGCGGTATAACCACACTCTCATTTAATTTTTACACATGGCATGCACAGTCGGTCGGGGGTGCTCCAAATATTTATTGCCATTTGGAGACCAAATTAATACGTGCATGTTTTTACTTCTGTGCCTCAGCCAAGCAGATGAAGGTTAAAAGGAAACTGATGCCATTTTATAGCCATCTGTTTTGGATTTGAAACATAAAAATTTGCCATTTGAGCAGATTTGATCTGGCCTTCATCTTTGTGATAAAAAAAGGACCCAATAATTACAATAAAACTCATAATGGCTCACAGTCTAATGTGTTCCTTAAATCATTCATTGCGTTTTGTAACAGCTGTCATTTCAATGAGGCTTTGAGGCTGGGTTTTGGTTTAGCTTGAGTGCCATTCATTTTACAATTTGAGAGGTTATCAACATTCATCTTAAAATCTTCTTAAATAGCCTGATCAAATTTTATTTACATAAGCCAGAGTCTAATGTATGGATGATTGTTTGAGGTAACAAGTAATGTGCCAGTTTATTTAACTTTTCACCTGGTATGGCAACAGCACCGCCTACAACTGCAAAGCTCTCCAGCGAGTAGTGCGGTGCTCTGAACGGATAATTGGAGGTGAGCTTCCCTCCCTCCAAGACATCTACAGGAAGCGCTGCCTGAGGAAAGCGGGGAGGATCATCAAGGACTCCAGTCACCCCAGCCATAAACTGTTCAGACTGCTTCCATCAGGAAGGAGGTTCTGCAGCATCCGGTCCCGTACCAGCAGACTGAGAGACAGCTTCTTCCATCAGGCCATCAGACTGCTGAACACGTCATAGACACCTCAGCTTCACTACTGGAACTTTAACATTATGCACTCCATACTGTACAGTAATGCCACTGTTTTGCACATATTCAACTCTGTATATTTTATATATTTTATTATTATTATTATTATTATAATTATTATTATTTTATTTTTATTTTTTTTACTATTTAATTTGTAAAAATGTGTATACACACACACACACGTAGGAAAATATTTAGTATACACATCCAGAAATGCATACACTATTATATATTGTACATATATTTATTAGTTTCAGGTTGGCCATTCTTGTATTTTGCTTGTTTGTGTTGTTGTGTTTGCACATCTCTGTTGCTTGTGGGGCTCGCACACAAGAATTTCACTCGCATGTGCTGTGCCAGTGTACCTGCACATGTGATGTGACAATAAAAGTGATTTGATTTGATTTGATTTGAAATGTGAGTCCAGCATAAGCTCCCCTCACTTTGTTGACAGTACGCTGAAAAACAACAAATGTCAATGTTTTTGCAAACTGGCTATAGCTTAAAAAGAGATACTTTCCACGTACTGTAACCCCAACCCACCACGGATTTTTTTAAATGAACACTAACAATAACCAAAGGATCAATGAGACTGTGGCAGCGGTGTGGACTCTGGCTCAGCTGCGATGGAGGGGTGGTACGGTAAGATCACGGGGCTGTGCCGGGAGGACGGAGAGGACAGGTGAGATGGATTACAACTAATGAACTCGGCCCCTTTCTAGTGCCCGGACTCAGGAACGAGGGGTGTGCTTTCTGTGGGAAGGAGCTGGAAAATATATTCGGTGCCGAAGCAGTGGGGATGCTATATTTAAAAATAAAGGTGCTCAGAGTGTGTCACTTTGAGAACTTTTATTTTTAAAGGTGTGGGTGTTGAACACAGTGTGGGTCCTGATCATATCACAGAGACATTAAAAAAAATTCGAGGAAAGTAATGACCACTTAAATGAGCAGGCTTCGATCACAAAGAAAAATATGCATAATAGATACAATCCATGAATCCTCTGCTGTCGTGTTTTCAATAAAACATCCGTAGTAGTTAGCAAGCTTCTTTATTTTTAACGTGGCTCACATCCATGTACGTAAAACATAACCTGCCGCTGCTTCTGCAACACAGTATATATCACAATTTGGTTAGACAGCCCCCTAGTGGTAAAGCTGAACTACCCCCATAACTCCTATCAACACACTCTGCTTGGTGTTTTGCTCTCTAATATTGTAGGTCTTTACTTTGCAGTGTATATGCACGATGAGGTGACTGTTATTATTGGTTAGCGTTATATAAATTAAATCGAACTGAACTGAGCTCAATTAACCATTGACAGAGCATTGTGTTCTGTCAATTTAAGAAGCAAGGGATTAAAGATCAATCCATAGTGATGACAGTTCACTAAGTGCAATTCCTGTCTCTGGTTTTTATTAATGGCAGGATTATATATACACTAATAATAATAATAATAATAATAATAATAATAATAATAATAATAATAATAATATAGCAGTATTAGCTTCCATTTATATATTTGTTGACAGATAGATAATACAAATATGTAAATAATGCAATTACACATTAATTCATTTAATTTAGCAGGGAAAAATAAATATTAAATGCTGTTAAACAAAATACTATTATTGATTAGCATATGCTACAAACGCACCATTTGGCCCACTCATTGGAGTTTTGGCGCCACTAAGTGGTGAATTGATAGAACAGATTCCTAATAATAAAGATAATAATGATTACTGTTTCCATCATTCTTTAGAAGCTTTTGTATGCCTGTTATTTTTAATATGTTCTCCATATTATCGTGTTAACAAGCAGCACATGAGACCCTGTCATAGATGCTGGTGCATGATTGTGATTTAAATGAGCTGGATGAAAACCTCACATTATTATAACGTTTGTGAGCGTTTTATGTCTCGTTACATGTCTCGCGCTTCTGCTTGAAAAATAAGTCTCCGTCTTCTACGGGAAGTACACTAGGACATTCTTCCCACAGTACGGGGCAAGGTTGCCATGGTAGCAGTTGTTAAACACTGTTGAACAGTAGCTAACTTTTGCTATTGTAGCCAGTACGCGTTACTTTCACTTGTTTTTAAAAATACTTTTGTAATAATAGTAATTTCGACAATTTCCTCTGTTTGTCGCGGTCAGGGCATCCATGTCAAAGTATAAGGTAAAAAGAAAGAAGCGACATTGTTCCCATAACAAAGATGTGGATGTGGCATTGCCTAGCTGCTAGAGTTATAACTTACTTACGGGATACACATGCTAATAATTTAATAATCAAAGCAGAAGAGTGCTGTTCAGCGTAGTATTCAGTTGTCTGAAAAACACACTCGTTGACCTTGGGTTAACCCAACTTTGTGGTGTTAAAACTGAAATAAAATAGTAACACATGAGAGCCACAAATTAGGAGGAAGTTGGGGTTAAGCAGCAATTTGCCAATTCTGAAAAATTGCTTATTGACAACATTTTTCAACATCTTACAACTTCACACTCAATTACCAATTAAGCTGGAAGTTGTCAAGTGTTTGTAAAGCTAACTTTTTTCACTCCTCACAGCCACTGAGTTCTTTTTGCTTCCTTTACCTTTACAGGCATATGGATACAAAGGCTCATATGAAGAGCGGTAAGTGTTGTTCGTAATTTGATTGTACATTTAAAAATACATGTACTGTGATGCAATGTTTCCTCAGGGAAGGAAGAAGCTGTGTGCGCTACAAATGTGGCCTGCCTTGTAACACCATACAGGATGTCTTGCACCAAAGACCAAACTGGATTGAAGTTAAAGAGTGAGTAGATTGATATTTTAGAAAGACTCTGTGGAATTATGTGCAGGATTGCATATATAGAAGGAAATCAGGAACATTCCCCAGAGAATGCTACACCAGGGATGGATGGCAGCGGTGTCTTTGATCCTGCAGCTTTCTTTTCTCCTCCTCACAGTGATGGTGAGTGGGACTTCAACTGGTGTGATGTGGGATGGCTGAGGGAGAATTTTGATCATACATACATGGAGGAGCACGTAAGGATAAACCACTTTCGCAACCATTATGAGGTAAGTTATCATCAGCCTGTGGTTTCATGTAACTGTTAAATGGACATTTTAGTGGTAAACAAGTCATTTCCTTTGTTTCTATGTTTTGCACTACAGCTGACTCGCAAAAATCTTATGGTGAAAAACCTCAAGAGATACCAGAAACAGCTTGAAAGGGAGGTTGGTCGCATAGAAGCATCCAACTGTGATTTTTTCCCTTGCACTTTTGCAATGCCCAGTGAGTATCATCTCTTTGTAGAGGAATTCAATCGAAGCCCTGGCAACACCTGGATCATGAAGCCGGTTAGTTAAAAAACAAGCAAAGAAAAAAACAAGTAACCAGGTGCAAAAACAACAAAAAAAAAGTTTTTATGACCTCAGAAAGTAAAAATAAGTTATAACCATGCTGCTCCGATACCATGAAAATATATCTCTTTTGTCTAGGTTGGAAAATCTCAAGGCAAAGGCATTTTTCTGTTCAGAAAACTGAAAGACATCATAGAGTGGAAGAAGGTGGGGTTATGTAAAGAACTGGTTGTAAGTTAAACTGCTAAAAGGAGACATTTTGAGAGTCTGATTGATAATACTCACACAGGATGGTTCCCGCTCAGAGGAACAGAAGGACGGAGTTCAAGTGAAAAGCTATGTGGCACAGCGCTATATAGAGAACCCTTATTTAATCAATGGTAATGAGCATGCTAAAATAATACAATTTAATATAATTAATTTACAGTTTCATTTAACATACAATGAAAATTGACAATACTTTGTTTAGCAATGTTGACTGTTGTCGATGAGAAAATATCCTTGCTTCATTACCTTTTATGCTTTTTTCCCCAACAGGCAGAAAGTTTGATATGAGGGTCTATGTGCTGGTCACATCAGTATGTACTGATCCCTGTAGCTTGCATAGTTTTATATAAAATGAAAAATCTGCTGCATGTTAAAATCAGTTTGTCTCTCTTTCAGTATGTACCCCTGAAAGCCTGGCTGTATCGAGACGGCTTTGCGCGCTTCTCAGGCATTCGCTTTTCCCTCAGCAGTATTGATGACAAGTGTATCCCTTTTTCTACTATTGTTGTTGGGTTTTTTTGCATTAAATTGAATGCTGATACATTTACTAATATACATTTAGCCCTGGGTTATCAGCATAATAAATTTAGGCTCTGTCTAATGAATTGTCATGTAAAAATACATTTTAAATAGCTCAGTTTGGCCACATTTCCGAGACTGTCACATCCTAATTTATTTATTTATTTTTTGCTTTTGTCCATGTTGAATCCCATCAGTAAAGTTTTCTCCTTATTACCTATTTTCAGATATGCATCTCACCAATGTGTCTGTTCAAAAAACAGCACCTGACTATGATCACGAGAAGGTGTGTAATTCAGGAACCTCAAAGAAAAAGAGCTCATGTTACTTTTATGTTCTGAAACATGTCTGTTTTAAACAGCTTTTATCTCTTTATTCCTGCATTGTTTCATCCAACGATAAGCAGGGATGCAAGTGGCAGATGCAACAGCTTCGAAGATACCTGACTGCAAAACACGGCAGAGAGATGGTAGAAACCCTGTTTAAAGAGATGGACAACATCTTTGTCCGCAGTCTGCAGAGTGTACAAAAGGTCATTATTAATGACAAACACTGCTTTGAGCTCTATGGTTATGACATACTACTGGATCAGAACTTCAAACCGTAAGTCTATAAACACATGCCAACACAGTGCACTATCATATATACGTGTATTTCTAAACATACACTACTAAACCATGCATGTCTATGCTTAAGAATTTTTGGGTTTCTCAATGGCCTAAAATAACTTGTATTACATATTTATAAAATAAAACTGAAATAAATACCTAAGGTAGGAGAATTCACTAGAAATGCATGAATAACCACAAACGAAATGCTCAGCATATCTGATAAGCTGAGAGCTGGGCTGTGCTAAATTACAGCACACGGATTAATTAAAGCACCTCTGTCCACTGCAAATACTAGCCATCCTTAATGAACTGTCTGCTGTACTCGTGGATTGGCCCACAGTGGCATGAAAGTAAATGTTTGCTGAACATAATCAACCCTTCATCTTTCCACAGGTGGTTAATTGAGGTGAATGCCTCTCCGTCACACACGCCCAGCTGTCAGGAGGATTACGAGATGAAATGCAGACTGCTGGAAGACACTTTGAATGTTGTGGATATGGAGGGAAGGTAAAGACCTCATTCATATGTTTTTCCGTTTTGTCATTAGGGAGCAGAGTTCGAGGACTTCCCCTCCCTGCAGTCATTTTATATGGTCTGAGCCTGGATTATAGCACATTTAAAAGTTAAGAATGTGAGTGTGAAGAAGCACTTTTGAAAAGCTTACCAATATTAAACATCTTACTTCCATTTCCTTTTTTTGCATACTGCGTTCTAATGGACTGTTTTCTCCTTAGGCTCACTGGGAAGGAGAAAAGAGTGGGTGGCTACGATCTCATGTGGAATGATGGTCCTGTCTACAGAGAGGATGCCAACCTACAAACATTTGGCAGCTCAGGTTTCACAGCCAACACACACCTAGGTAGCCTAAATGTGTTGCTCCTGTTTTTTTTTTTCCCTTTTCTTTTCAAGGCAACAGTAATTCCCATTCTAAGAACCTCTTCTTTGTTGCAGGGTGTGTAAACGACAGAGAGAAACAGCTTCGCCAGCTTCTAAAACCATTTCCATGCCAAAGGAAGGCATAATCAGATTGAGATTTTCTACAACAATGCTGCTACTCCAGTACTTAGTGTTAAAGATTGAATGATCAGGGTGGCATTGAGGGGTCTAATTAAGCGGCCAGCTATGGGGAAATACATCTCTAATGCTTTACAGTTATCTGTGCAGATCTGATGCTTAAAATCTACTACAAACCATGTAATAACCCTACATTACATTCAACAAGAAATACACCAGTACAGAGGGTTTTTCTTTTGAATCCAATAATCAATGTGCTTGAATGGCAGCGTGTGTTTGCATGTTTGCATGCACAATGTCAATGACAAAAACACTTGTGAATCTGGCACCATTTCTTCAGGTGCTTCAAAGAATGACCAACAGACCAGTGCCGCTTGTGTGCAAAACATTTATTTCTATGCCTTACAAATACTCGCATTCAACATTGAGAAAATACTGTACATACCACAATCTTCCTGCGTGCATGTCGATGTAATGTACACATTTAGAACAACACTGCCACTCCAGGCCCCTTATCTATGGCTTTGATAGTTTACATAGATATTTAAGTTAAGAGGTGCAGTCAGAATAAGTAGCACATTTACATTGGTGTCGTGTTTTCATGAATCAAGTGCACATAGTAATCACAAGAAACAGATAAAATACTCATGTAAACACAGTGTCCTACAGACGTCAAGTATGGGATATGGAGGTGATATGTAGAACATTACAGCTTAGTAGCTATGATCCTCTGAACTTCCATTGAATCCTGGGAATGACACAAAGTTACATTCAGATCTTTTTCTTTGCGTTTTTGTTTTTGTGCGTGACAGTGTAAACAGCAATGATGATGGGGGGAAAAAAGAAGAAGAAGAAGAAGAAGAAGAAGAAGAAGAAGAAGAAGAAGAAGAAGAAGAAGAAGAAGAAGAAGAAGAAAGTACAAGTCAACCACAGCACTTCTGATAAATATAACTATGGCATATAAAATTTGGAAAAATATGCATTTACATTCGTAGCAAACATTACACCGTCTTCAATGATAGAAAGAGCTCAGCTCTATGCAAAATACAGTATATTATCATAACTACAATTCAAGCTGTTCAAACATGAAAAGCCCTTGTAACCAAAAATTTAAAACCAAATCACAAATATATCTGGAACAGACCACATTACTGCAGTACCCCACCACTTACTTTGCCTCCTTTTCACCTAAACTTGCTTTAACTTAAAATGTGTCTTAAAACATGGAGGCACCAAAGGAACAATAAAAAGCAACATTGAGGAAAAAAAAATAAGAACATTGAAAACAAATACATTCCAACATTCAAAAATTGCACTGAAACAGCTATGGTCGTATTTGATGGTTGAAACATAGTGACCTCTGTTTATCTTCACTGTGGATTACTTATGCTGAAAACTGGCCAGCGGGACAGTAAATGCTTATTTTAACATTAGAGGATTACTGAGCAATGACTGTGCAGTGCAATAGTTTTACTTATTTATTTATTGTACACAAAAGCTTTACTTTTTTGAATAATAGCAGTGTTCAGGTTCATAGTGAGCCATATTACTATAACTGTACATTCGGAATTAAATGCAGCGTATATAGTTCTGCTCTATTTAAATGTCGAGTTATCTTTGCTGTTTATTTTCTGTATTCTAGCTGCACGATTGCTGATGGTTTCGACCTTTAAAGGCTGTACACCACTTACTGATTTAGCTGTACAACAGTTAGAACATGTTAGTATTACACAGTTTACACAGAAAGCAAGCATAGATTCAAGCTCCTGTACCGAGTAACCTGTAAGGAAAGCACTATATTGCAAGTCTACAGGGGTTACTTTGCGACAAAGTGCACATTTTTCATTTTGCCGCACTGCTTACTACTGACTGGGGCTTTGGGGAGAGAGGACAGGTCTTTAGCAGCTCTTTTCATGGCTGTTTTAGAGGCCTGGCCTACTGCCTCTGTCTTCTGCCAGTCCCTCTCCTCTTTCTTGGATGTCATGGTCTCTCTCTTACTTGCAGCAAAAGCACGTTTCTCTGCACCGGTTGCTTTCATGCCACCAGCCTCCTTTTTAACATCTGTCTCAGAGTTAGCTCTGACACGGCTTTTCCTCACCTGACCTCTGCTGTTTGGGTTAGTGCCAGATTCCTGGGGTAGCTTACGGGCATTGCCTGCAGCCTGCATTTGCCTGTGGTGACTCTTTCCAGCTGAGGGGCTAACTGGAGTGTGAGCCCCTCCCACACTTCCACCTTGCCCTCCTGGGCTCCTACCTTCTGTGGAGGGAGCTCGGGTCTCACTGCTGCTCCTTTTTGTCGGTGCACCGGGTCTGGCTCTGCGCTCAAGCAGTGGGCTGAGTCGTGAGTGGCGCTGGTAGACATAAGCAGAGCAGCTTCCATTGCACAATGGGTAGCGAATGTGACAGTGAGGACAGACTGGAAGGCGGGAGACTTGGTGCTGGGTTGAGGCAGGTGATGGGGGGTTGTTGACAGGTGCAAATGGGAATGCTCGCTGGGTGTGCCGCAGCCCTTTTGGGGAGTTGAGTCGGGATGGTGGAGCTGTGTGAGGCCTAGGTTGATGAGCTGTAGTAGCAGAGGAGAAGCCCTGTGGCCTTGGGCGGCTCCCAGGCGGACGGCTGCTCTCTGCTTGCACCGTTTGAATCTGGAGCCACTCCAGCTGGAGGAGCTTCTCCAGGTACTTCTCTAAGGGCCCTACTGGCTTAGGCCGGGGGGCACCACGACCCTCTGTATGCAGAAACACTGCCAGCTGTCTCAGACTCCAACTGTTAAAGGGAGGAGGAAGAAAGTCTGGGTAACTGTAGCTGGGTTTCTCATTCTCATCTTCATCACCCACTGCCCCATGGGGTCCCGGAAAGTCTGGGGGAAAGTCGCTAGAGTTGATGATCTCTGCCCGGAGGTTGAGATGGGGAGGGGTACAGGGAGTGCATGGGGAGGGCAGAACTGGAAGCCTCTCAGAGTCCGACAGATCACTTGCACTGTCTGTGTCATCATCTTTGTGGTTGTAGTGCTGCTGGAGTGCCTCGGGGGTGGGAGCTGGGGAGTGCATCAGGGGCTGAGCCGGCACTTGCCGTACTCCTGATATCGGAGAGAGAGGCAGCGAGAGGGCTCGCCGATTTTTTCCCATCCCCCCACGGTTTTGCTGGAGCTCGCTGGTGCATTGGGACACACGTTGATTTTCTCGCTTTTCCTCCTTCCTGTGTGCATAAGATTGCTTGCGGAGCTGAGGTCTCAAATCCCCTTCTTCTTCGGGGCTGTAAGGAGACAGACGGGGAAAAGCTGTTGGGGATTTAGGGATTTACAAAGTAATCGCAAAGCATGCACACCCCCAACTCCACTCTTACCTGGACACTTTGCTTGTATTGCGTGTAGTGCAAGGCTTCACTCTGGCACCTTTTGATTGTGCACCCTGTAAAACAATCTCTCATTACTTCTGCTTTTTGTACACAGGTAGGAACTCATGAGGTAACACTATCTTGCTATCAAATAATAAAAATAATAATGACGTTGTATACATTTACATCCCTTTAATTTATCAGGGTATCATTTACATACTCTGTGCACTGTTGTCACCGTGTCCTTATCTTGACCTGGTCCTGGGAGACCATTTTTCATTTGGCCCACAGATTTCTTCGTCTTGTTACCCTTCTTTGAACTGCAAAAACACAACACGGGTTTGTTAGGATCGCCTTCGCGTCAAGGGTACAAATAAAACGAAAAAAAAAAGAAAAAAAAACGTGCAATACCCGTCAGCGTAAACGAGGCCTACCTGGTTACTGTCCCGCTATTTTCGGTATTTTTCACCCGAATCTTCTCTTTGGAAACGACGCGTTTCAGTGTCGTGGATGCTGTGCGCTCCTGCATGATGGGCCCCATGTTGCAGCACAGTGGGGGATGATTGTTGCTTTCGAGTCCGACGCAGTTAGATCACACGGTAGCTAAAGAACCCAACCGACATCTCGGATCACATATTCCAGTCTGATAATTAGGCTAAAAACACCCATTTTCTCAAAAATGCTGCAGTGCATCGTGCGTAGATGTCAAGCGTCCCCTGTATCCGCAGGTTGAAACGCGTCCTCCTAATCTCCGTCGTATGGCCCCGCTGCTCGATCGCAGATCAGCTTTTATTTGAATCGCTTGCTGACAGCTGGCGCGTCTCCTTCCCCGATGTCGTCCTCATCACCATTACAAATGCGAGACGGTGACACGGCGCAAACGCTTTGTTTGGCTCCCCGTCCCAGTCAGATAGGTTTGTTTACCTGCTGCTGACTGGCTCGCCTGTTCGTGTCAAAGCGAGCGTCAGCGGTGCATCATGGGAGTTGCAGTTAAAAGCGCGCTGGCTTCATTTTAAAGCCTTTGCTGAAGCCCCTTTTTTGCAGAGTCTTGCTTGCAGTCGATAAGCAAATGGAGTGCACAAGATGGGATCCGATGAGGACCGTGTCCCAGAGAAGGAGTTAAACAGCGTGAACTCGCACCCGCTTCATTCAAAGTACTCAATCACCCATGCGACGTCATTCTGGTCCGTGTGTAGTTTCCTGTTAACTGCGAGCACGTCAGCTGATCTGTATAGACCTCACGTTGAATGCATGTATGGGATGTTGGAGAGCGATGAAGGCAGTTAGCAGTTACAAATCAGGCTACGCGGTTGCAACCAATAACAGGCACTACACGCAGCACTGATAATACTACTCTACATGGAGGATCGAGATTGGGCTGCTTCCTACAGCTTATACGTGACTGACTCTTCGCATCTTCACATGGTGAGGTGATGTCAACGTCTGATTGCAGCAAGTGATGTTAAAGGCAGTTTCAGGAATACTGCAGTCATTTAGAGAGGCAGAAAAAGACCGTATGCATGCATGCGGGCACGTACTCCCCGAGTACACGCCCACTCTCTACTGTTTAAACGTCAAAGTTGCTCTGTTGAAAGTTGCTTCATGGCTTGTTGCATTTAGTAAGCTGATGCTGAAGCTTATGCTTTTACTTCCCAACTTTACAGGTGAACTGAACCCCTGCTCTCACCACACATGGATAAAGGGTGGTTTATTGGACTTGAGAGGATTCCTCCAGCACAGTCTGAGCAGAGGAGGTCGTGTGTTACTATTAACCTGACTGAAATGCTCCGGGCTGACAAGCCTAATGTGCAGAAGAAGCCAGTTCCAATCCGTCCCCCGAGCCCCAGAGTTTCGTTCCCAAAACAACAGTTTCACCGCAGTCTCTCCTGTGAACCTACGCCTAAACCCATCATCCGTCAGCGGTCGCACTCGCTGCCTTCTGCCACTGACAAGAAAAAGCAGTGCAGAAGTGTTGGCGTACGGTTTGTTGACTCTTTGGGACTGGACCTGGAAGACGTCAAGATTTTTAAATCGGGAGAGGATCCACTTGTGCCCCATCATGTTACCTTTAGACTGTTGATGAGTGCAGAGATGGCAGATGGAAGGCATATGGAGATTTCTTTGCCATACCTGAAGCCAGCATTTGCCCAGCAACCTGGAGACCATCCAGGATTCCTGCATCGTCTCCATGAGCAGAAAGTTTGTCTTGAAAGAGTCTTGTGTTTTGAGTTGGGGGTCATCGGAATCACCCAAGTCCTCAATTTGGACTTTGAGAAAGATGTGACGGCTCGTTATTCTTTTACAGGATGGAAGAGTTGTGCAGAAGCTAAGGCCTCTTGGGTGTCCAGCATCACTAAGAACTGTGAGGGCAGAATGGGCCAAATCAGCTGCGATACATTTCGTTTTCATCTGCCTGTACCTCCATTCCTGCAACCAGAAGCAGTGTTAGAGTTTGCCATTCAGTACAAAGTCTGTGGTGCTGAGTACTGGGACAACAACGATGGAAAGAATTATAAATTAATTTGCAAGAACTACAAGCTCTCTGTGCCCAAAGAATGCGAGGATAGCATGGTGCACTTCACTTAGTTAGTATGCACACAAAAGGGAGAAGAGTTTGAGCATTAGAACACTTAATGATTACATGTAGCAATATCTATACAAAAAACACTCGGTAAACACATCTGTCAAGGCCGTTTGGGGTCATTTTTGCAATTTTTAACCAATCTGCATAAAAAAATACGTTTTTGAGCGTGCTATAGCTTGCCATAAAATCCTTTGGGATTTGTCTTTTTGGGGGGTATTTTATGTGTAATGTTAATGGCAATAAGATAAAATGCACTGATGGAGGCATAACTACACACAGGAAACTGTTGATGCTCTTAGTAGTGCTGGCATAATAGCAGTTTGAATAAAACACACACACACACAAGTGCACTTACACCTGGTGCCAGCTTTACTGCCACTTGTATTTTTGTTTGTAAAAATTGCACTGAATTGTTATATTTTCCTAATAAAAGTTGCACTTCAGTGTGGGAACATCCCATACAAAATTTTTGGGTTAAAATGAAATTAATGGACTTCACAGTCCAGGCTTTCTACCAGCTGGATGTTGGTCTTCTGGACCGGTTTGCTGAGTTTTCAGGATCTGTATTTGGAAGTCAAATGTTGTCAAAACATGCCATAGATACAGTGTACATGTTTCTCATGTGCTAAGCCATATTTAGCTTATGAAATGCAGGAGTCCTGCATCTCAAATGGGCTTGAAGATGCCTTTCTAAAAAAAAGCTGTTATGTATTTTCCTAATTACAGAATACTCTAACAAACATATTTTGTAAATATTTCAGCTATAAGAGAATAAATGACTTTACTCTCAAGGGAAATGCAATATTTTATATTTGCAAAAGTGACAGATTCTAAGTAGCAGTAGGCCTACCACACTGTGAAAATACCCACTACCAGCTAAAATCCTGTATTCTAAATCTTACTTAGGTGTGAATATGCAAGTATTATCGCGGGAAACATGCTTCCTGATTGTGTTTTCCTTTTATATGTGTTGTTGTTGTTGAATTGCTGTTGCCCTGATACCTGTGTGTATTGCATTTCACTGCTGTAATGTTGAAAATGGGGCTAAGTTTAATTGCTGCTGCGTAGTTTATTGCAGAACAATGGGTTCTATAGGAAGATGTTAGTAGGGTTCCCCAAAAATTGATTCTGTTCATCTAGACGTAGCGTTTTCAGTTAGTAGTGTTGTTGTCTTGTCAGAAAAACAACCATGTTTTTAGCTTTGTAAGTTTTTTTTTTTTTTTAAAGGTGTTTAAATACACTATGAGGACAAAAGTATTGGGTCGCATGTCTCACTCTTTGAATTCATGTGTATAAAACCAAGCATCCATAGCCATGTGTTCAAGCTTAGCAAACTTTTGTAAAATAATTGGTAGGTTTGAAGAGCTCAATTTGAATTTGAGCGTTGTATTGTAATAGAATGCCACATTTTTAAAGAGTCATTTCCTGGAAATTTTTCCCACCTAGATATTCCAACATTAACCGTAAGAGGTATTTTTGAAAAGTGGAAGTATTTAGAAACCACAGCCACCCACGAAGTGGCAGACCATATAAAGTTACACACCGGGGTTGCTGAGACTTGAGGCACATGGTCCCTAAAAGCTGGCAACGCTCTGCTGACTCAGTAAGTGCAGAACTCCAAAACTCCTCTCGCACTAACATAACACCAGGCGCTTCTTGATATGGGTTTCATGGCCAAGCATCTCCTGTAGGTGTAGTTTATCAGGAAGATATCAAGTTAAAAACCACAGTAACTGATAAATAAAGCAGTCAGACAACTGTAGTAGAAAAGAAAGTTTAAAAATGTGAACAAAAATAAGTACAAATACTTACAGTTTACCCTTTAATATTACTTACTATACCGCAAAACAGAAAAAAAAAAATCTAAACATGGTTCTCTTGTCCCTGGTGAATAAGCAGATCTATTTCAAATCAATCAGACTAAAGAGCTGCTGAGCAACAGTGCCTGTATACAGGATTTTTTAAAAATGTATTTAATGTTGTCTTACTGTATTATGAACGGAGTCGACAGTTCCGGCTGGACGTAAATCCTCTCGCGCGTGCGCAAAGAATGCAAAGACTTCGCGCGCGTTGTGGGGATCAACTGAAAAACTTAAAATAAGAAGCAACCTGTCATGTCCTCTTTTTGTGCCAAATTTGACAGCACAGTAAGTAGAGCTGTGTATATAATATTATCTCCCTAAGGTATGTAGTAATCCCGGGCTAGCTGATGGTTATGGTCTGAAATTATTGTTGACTCGGAGAAAGTTTAGCTTCTATTAGCATCAAAGTTAAGCTAGCTAACTTCAATAAAGCCTGATGAGGTCATAAAGGTTAGCAGCATATCTCATGACATAGCTCAGATTGCATGTACTGCAATACATTTATATAAAGCATCTCATGTAGGCTCATGTGAAGATAACAGATAACTTAGTGTTTAGCTTTTTGATGGCAAATTAATTAAACTTCTGAAAATTACATGTCAATACATAATTTATATAAAGTGAGGCCTTTTAAGATAGGCCTATGATTGGTAGGTTTATGTCTGCTGTTTTTGTTTACAGTCAATTTAAAGAGGCTAAAACCTTTTCTCACAAGGATGGCACCTGCACAGAACACGCAGGTGGGAATGCATACACTTTCTCCCTTTGTAAATATTCCTATCACTTAATTAATCAATATTCAGGCCTAATGGTGAAAAGTAAATTGTATACTTCAACCTTTTAGTTGGAGCACATAATCAGTGAGGCGGTAAAGTCCGGAGATGTCCGAGCACTGGATGTGTTCTTGCAGAGGGAGATTTATGAAGAGACTCCCATGAAATGCTCTCAACAGTTTCTCAGCAAATTGGATAAACTTATCTGTAGGGTGAGATAAAACTCAAAACACCCAGTTACACAATATGATGCTGCGTTATCAGTGGAATTAATGAAACCATATTTATGTTCCTTAGGGTTTGGCTCAAAAAGACCCCAAATTGGCCAGTCTGGGATTTGCCAGTCTTTACAAGTGTGGAAAACACCTAATACTACCTGGTGGTGACCAAGGACTTTTGGGGTTAATAGCACAGGGTCTAATAAAAAAGATGAGTACACAAGTAATAATACATAAAGGTACATACTATGTGGGTTCTGTAAACTTATGTAGTCTGATTGAACCCTTTTTTGTGCAGATGGTGGAGTGGTTTGAAAAATGCAGACAACTGTGGATTCAGTGTGGGCTGCAGTGGGATGAGAACTTAATAAACCTCTCTGAAGACTTTTTAAATGCTTTAACGGTGAGCTAACTTCTAATAAGAAACACACTTTGTAAAGTCAACTGTTTCAGTATTCTTAATTTGGTTTGTTTTTATTTTCTCTATGTTAAAGGTGGTTCATCAGGCATGCGAAGAGGGTATGGATTTACATATCTCTATGTACTGTAGATAATGACATCTTTTTATACTGTTTAAAAAAGTGAATGGGGACATATTTAAGTGTAAGATGGATAAGAGTTTCTAACTTAAAAGAGGTTTCTAATAAGTTTACAGCAATTTAATGATGACTCTGTATACAAGAAGAAAGTATTGACTTTGTCTGCTATACCATGTTTTATTTTATTTTTGCAGGGACATACAAAATCACTGAGTCCTTTCTGTATCCTATTGGCCAGTTGGCTGTTGACCCTAGAAACTACGTCCTGATCCAGAAAGAGGTGTACAATAGTTTTTCAAATTTTTTTTAGAGTAACACTGAACCTGAAAGACCTCTGTTTGGTACAGTTGATTAACTGCCTAATAATGTTTTAACAGGCAATTCGGAAATTCAACTTAATTCTGGATAAAATCCCAGTGGAACTTAAAAAAGACACGAAGATCCTAATGTCACAAGAGGCCTCTGATATCATGTATGTCACTGTAGTTTTCTTAAATGATTATTAACATTAAATGTAATACAATTGGAAACATGAATGATCACAATCAAGAATGAATTACCACATTTACTAATTATTAAGAAGTAGATTGCTCATTTGATTACAGGATCAAACTGGCTGATCATATAATGGATGTTGGTGGTAAGCTTTCTTTATACATTTCTCTTTACCCAGAATTACTATTAAAAATAAAATATGTAAAACACTGTTTCTATTTCCCCCTCAGACTATGACTTTCAGTCATCCTTGATGGAGGCATTGTGCAGAATGGCCACAACTGACCAGAGGAAGGAACTTGCATATAAATGGTTCAGAATGAGCCTTGTGGCCAGTGCATTTGCCAAAATACGTGATTCTGAATTTGAGACGGTAACATTAGTCTGTTTTGGTTTATTTTATATTTGCTTTTGATTTTTGATGTGCTGGTGCTGTTGCTGATGTTGTTTATGCTGAAAGGCTGCATAAAATTGAATGCAAGTGTGTGTGATTTCAGGCTTGTCGTACATTTCTAAACATGGTGAATGGGATGCAGGGAGACAAGAGAAGGTACATACATAACAGAGCTCAGTGCTATACAACACATGTGGTTTCATTTGTAACTTTCATTCTAAACCTGAGTTAATATGAATTTTCATATGTTTGTCTATTTCTCTAAGAACATTGCATTTTACAAATTCTTTCGCTAAGCTCTTTTAATAAAAATCTCTAATTACATTCTGTATTTGGGCCATATTGACTGGAAAGATTTACTGAAAGTTCTGATGACACAATTCTTTGTGCACTGTAGGGTGTATTCCTACCCTTGTTTGGAAGCTTATCTGGACAGCAGTGAGGTCAGTATCAACAGGGATTCTGTTCTAAAATGTGAAAAACAAAACTGAATTTGAAACAACTCAGTTATTAATTGTCTGAACACACATAAGGTATCTCTCACCACACAGTCCTAGTCTGTTTAATCTAATAACAGCTTATGTCCAAATTCATGCTGTATTGTTAATACTATAAGTTGCTGTTATAATAAGGTTGTGGTTATGTTGTCAGCTGCTGATGCCCTCGGATGAGAAACTTGAGGAATTCTGGATTGACTTCAACCTCGGCAGCCACAGCATCTCTTTTTACTTCTCCTTGGCTGATGAAGAGGTACAGATACCTCAAATCAGTAATATACACACATATACAATATACATAATAATATACACATTAAAAAATCTCAACTTTTGCTTAGCACAGTCAACATCTGCTTAACAAACTTTGGTTTACCCTCAAAGGATAGCCACTGGGAAACTATATGTCTCAATGAGCATGAAGTCCAAAGCTACACTGTAAAAGGTAATGTATACACAAAGGCCAATGCACTTGTGCCTGCTCGCATTCACTGAATTTTTATTTGCATGCGACTTTGCCATTTCGTATAAGTATTTGCTCTAATAAAAAATTTCTTAATGTCCAGAGGAGGGTAAGAGGCAGGTCTTGCAGATCAAGCTGTCAGAGGTGGTCATTGTTGGTGCAGCTGAAGGATCCACTCTTACGATCCATTTCAGCTCCTCGCTGGACATCCTGCAGGCTGTGCAAAATGTCTATGGACACAGCAAAAATAAAGTAGAGTCTATCTGTCTTTACTGAATTTTCTTGCTACACCACAATAGATACATGACAAGTAAATTCTAAGGTATACATTAATGTTAAAAAGACTTTCACACCAAGTGGAAAAGTCTATATTTTCCACTGATAGAATGGGGCTCCAAACAGAAGCTAAACTGTGGTCATGATGAATTTAAGTATTTGGATTAAGACTTTCTTCTTCCGTCAGGGCTCATCTGTAGTGAAAGCTACAGCTAGATCTTTAATGGAGAACAACACTCAGGTAAACATTGGTTTGTCAACGTAATGCTCTTATTGTACTTCTGTAATAATTAGTTGTCATCTCAGATTCCAGTGTTTATTAAACTGTCAATATTTCAGCTGGAGTTGGGTTTAAATGGTAAATTGACTGGTTCCTATAGTGCTTTTGTACTCTGATTCTCAAAGCGCTTTATGCTTCAGTGCTTTCTGTATCTTCTCCAAGGACATTTGGTAGTGTAATATATTGAAATGTATAATATTTATTATTAATTTAAATCGAAATTATAATGGGTGCAAGCCTTTGTGTGTGGGTTTTTTTATTCATGTGGTTTTATTTTATCAGAAATCTTTTGTTAATGTCTAAAAAGATTTTTCATCCTGTATGTTCATCTTTTTTTAGGTTGTTCCAGAGAGCCAGGTGTCTCTTGGTGAAAGTGAAAAAAGTACTGTCAACTACGTTTTACCTGCTACAGCTGCACCAGCACAGGTAGAGATTTAAATTGTAAATTACAGACAGTTTAGACTAGACAGGAAAATGGAGTGGGAGCAGGGGCATACCATGATTGATATCAACATAAAGTTAAGTCAGTGAAGGCAGTGTTTTAGCTTACTTTACAGAAGTGTGCATATTTTTCCTGGTATTTCTGGGTATGAACAAAATTCTGCTTTATAAATTAAACCCCACTGAAAACGGTTAAAATACTAGCTGCTTCTAGAGATATGCAGTAAAATCCCTGTAATGTGTATAATATTATTTAATGTAGCAATGCAACACATACAGCACATGCAACTACCTGCAAAATAAGAAGGAAAGCAGAAAAAGATCAGTTCAGAGAAAATGAATGAGTCAAAACACAAGTTGGAAGTTAACGAAGATTGATACAACAAACAATTCCTCAGCTAAAGTCAGTATTTGCAAATATTTATTCATTTATTAATATAAATGCTAACAGCTACACTCTAACATCTTTTTTAAGGCTGGCATCAGTTATATAATGAAAGTGTAAGACAACTCTTGGTTGTGATACTTCAATAGAAAGGCACACCTGAAACTCATAAAGATTTATAGACATCTGATTTTCCCTCCAGGTGGCCACTCCAGCCAAGATGAAGATTTCTGAGGCCACTGCCGTTTTTAGCAGCGGCGGAGCTGGAAGTGTGCATCGTTCCTTCTCTCTTGCATCAAGTAGGTGACAGTAGAAAGTGTGAAGAACTGCAGCCACACCAATTCCAGCAATTGTACTAAGTTACAGGCTTTATTTTATTGGTGAGAGAAATAAGATAAGATAAGATAACCTTTATTAGTCCCACACGTGGGAAATTTGTTTTGTCACAGCAGGAAGTGGACAGTGCAAAAGTTATGAGGCAAAAATTAGAATACATGGGCTATATCACAAGAATAAACATAATCACAAAAACAACTAAATATACAAGTTGTGAAAGAAGACAAAAAGAACACCCTATACAAGTAATTTTTGCTTTTTTTAAATAGACTGTATTATAACTCTTTAGAGTATGGATAGAGTAAACATGTAAAGATACTAGAGCTGAATCAGCTTCCTCATGTCCTTTGGGGTTAGTTTAGTTCGTATGTAAATACTAAGTAGTTATTATGTGTCCAGTTGTTTCATTTGTGCTCAGTTGTATCATTCTCAACCACTGAATAAATCCTGAATGAGTATGATATTTTTTGTCCTCCTTTTTAGACACTCCAGCCAATGGCATTGGAACAGAAAAGTCACCTCTTGAAGTGGTTAGTTCACATATCACCACTGTTAAGAACTGCAGTCATAGCAGCTACTCTTTAATGTATTCAGTATTAAGTTTTAGTTATACTCTGATTATATTGCTTTATACTGTAAGTCCTTGCATACTGCACAAATAGTGTAAAGTAAATGTTCATGTTTTTGTAATGTGTACTGTTTAGCCAAGTTAGGAGTAGTTATACACCAGGTCCAGGAAATTCAGTTATTCAGTTACTATCGATGTGATGCATCTCTACAGAGCACAGCCTCTAAACCGGCCATCCAGAATAAAGGTGACAAATACAAAAAGGTACAGTCTATCTATAAATGATTAAATTTTTTAATTTTTTTTTACTACTGTTGCTACTTTTGCATGATCTTTTTAACCTTTTTGATTAAAGGAGACCATAATATGATCCAGCTGTGTAAAAAGGGGTTTTGCTTTTCACGTTTCTTAATAATTCGATGTTTTAACTACCTAGACTTATCTAGACCTCCTCTGGTCACCTAACCATTGAATTTCCATCAGGGTACTGGTTTGTTCTTTTTTTGTTTGTTTGGTTAATGCTCATAGCCTGATGTAAAGACATAATTTCCACACAGTCAGAATAAAGTGATGTAAAAATCGTTGCTGTTGGGTTCTTAACAATGCAGTCAGTGCAGCAATTATAAGCAACAGAGGATTTAGTATGAGGCACAAAGTAAATAACTGTGTTCTGCTAAATATGAAATATCATACAGTTTCATTTGCTGTCATTTGCAGAGCATACCACTGAAAGATGCTGTGAACATGGTTCTGGCTGAACAAGGAGGAGAAAAATCCAGAGGTATGATATAAATATATTTTCATTGTTTTTTGCTTAACTCAGAAATAAACTGTATTATCTTTGTTACATACAGCTTTATTTGTTTAAAGACTCATCCCATTACTGGCCTTTTCACTTGCAGAGGAGAATTTTGTGCCTGACACCCAACCCCAAACTGGGAGTAACATGCAAGTATCATGAAGAACCTCCAGTCTGTTTGCATAGCTGCATAGCCAGTGTTCTGATTGATATCTGTATGTAATGGGTCTATCTGAGTATATTTATGTTTTTATTTAAATTACAGGGCTTCTAATTGGCACAAATTTTCAGTTTCAAAAATGCTGATGATGCCAACACAGAAAACGAGTTCCCTGCCAAGATCTGGTAAACTAAGGCGGCAAAAAATATCTTCAGTATCGCTAAAATTATGAAACTGTCATTGTACATTACAGCTAGTAAAATATACAAAAAACAAGCTAGTTAAATGTTAATGCCATTAACAATTATCAGGGTTTTGATTACAGTTATTTTCCTCTCTTTAGAACCTTGTTCAGCTATGCTGCGTCCTCAGGAGCGCTCCTTATCATCGAAGTGGTCAGTTTCAGCCTCGAGCTCAGTCTGCCAAAAGCAACTGCATATCCAGCTCAGCGAGCGACTGCAGCAGGTCCTTAAGGAGAGGAACAAAGACTCTCCACCTCCTGAAGCATCTGATATCAGAAGGGACTCGAATGAAACAAATGCAGAAGACCAGTATGTTTCCTCATTATGTACTTCCAAGCCGCGACATGCCCAGAGCAATGGCCGTGCAAAAAGGAAGAGCAAGGGCCAGACGTCACTGGAGACTAGTGCTGTTCTCCAGACCTCCACAACTAAAACTCTAAAGGAGAAAAAAACACTCAAATCTGAAACTGAAAGTAAGAGGGCTCAATTAGACAAAGAAAAGGTATGACTTCTGTGAAGTTTATGCAGCTTAATGTCAAGTCCAAAATTCTTGTTAAGAATTAAGGGTTTTTTTTGTTTCTTTGGTTTTTTTATTCCTTCAAATTTCTGCTCTCAGAGAGACTCAGAGGCTGCAGGCAGCATGGTGAAGCTCATCTCTAGCCGCTATAAGGATAATGGCCAATCTAAAGAAAAACACACTTCTGAAAAGCTCACTCAGAACTGGTTTCCTTCTCTTGTCAACAGGTATGAACATTTAGGGCTGTAATTTTTCCACTTTAAATTTCCACTTCAATAATGTCATTAATGGAGTTGTTTTTGTAGTAGAACAATCTTCAATATGAGCTGGTTATCAACTGGAAAAGTAAGTGATCAATATTTGAATTATGTCTAGGATTAATTTGAGTAATTTTTAAAGTATAGTTTTTTAAAAAAACATTGAAAGCACTTTTCTGTATTTATTTTACTAAAGATAATTTATTGATTCATTTGATGTATTTTAGAGAGAAACATCCAGAAACCCAATTACATCCTACAGCAGAACCAAAACAAACTCTGTGAGGCGGAGGTAATCTAAGTCGATTAAAACATTTCAAAGATATTTGAAGATAGATTTGTCTTTCAGTGAATGTAATAGTTTTTTCCCCTGTTGTATAGAGATGACGTTTTTGCATTCAGGACCAATACACCCCTCAGTTCTGAGGTAAGTGTTACTAATGTGAGTCAGTTTTATGTATTGACATGTATCAGCATGAGAACTTAGAAAATTCAGGATTAAAGTTAACAGTCTTCTTTCACTTATTTCATTTTAGAAGGAGAACATAAACACCTGTGGCATACAGAGCAAGTAGGCCCCATTGAGAATGTTCTGTGACTTTTATTTGTCTTAAATATTAATATTTTGTTACAAATCTTTCTTAAATCTATACTTCCCATATTGTTTGACAGTGGCATCCACTCCCCAGTACTCCTCAGCACAACCAAGAAAGAGCAGCCTGTGGCGAAAGTAGGCATTCATTGTATGTTTGTGGAAACATTTTCTTCATGCTTGTGTACTCATGTCTGTCCTCTGCTGTATTCTGTGTTACAGAAGAAGGGGCATGTAAAAAAGCACCTGTTTAGTGACATAGACACAGAAAATGCCACAACAGATCTCAGCTGGCTGAGAGAGTCAGCCACAAAGTCCAAGCCCAAGGTTATCAAATACTCCAGGCAGGCGCCCATCAAACCTAGACCTGTCCCACACCATGCTTCTGGTAGGCCATTAAAGTTACATTCAGACTCAAAGTCTGAAAATTGTTGCATCACGACTGTATGCCAATAAAATTATTTGAAAACATCAGTAATTGCATACAGGTTTTGTTTAATTACAGTTGAATCTCCAGATTTAGTCCCAACCTTTCCAAGAGCTGGATTGGGTAATAACAAACCAACTCAGGTAAGGAATGATTAATGTTTTTGTAAATTGTGTGCTACAAGCTGCACTATTTTAAGTAACCACAGTGTGTCACTGTTGTATCAGAAAAACGGGCGCATGAAAAGGGACCTTGGTCAGCCAAAGGAGAGAGTAAAGCTAGCAGCAGCACCTAGCAGACGACATGCAGCTAAGAGGCCCAAGAGAGTTGCAGCCGCCTCTACCAGAAGCTACAAAGAGCCAGATACTGATGACAGTCAGCCAGAAGAACCTGAGGATCCTCCTGCTACCAAGGCAGGAGACAGACTTCTTTTTTTAAGCATTGTTACTGTTTTTTGTTTTTGTTTTTTTAAACGGTTAACAGGTACCACTTTGCTTTTTTAAGTAATCCTATTGGCAACAGTGTCAAGAGTAAACAAAAGATGAAGCAGACATGTTTATTAAAACATTTTGTAAATATATATAGTGTAAAAAGGCAAACTTCATCCTGCCTCCACACATTATATTGAATATCAAAATGCCTTTTTTCATGGACTTTCATGGCCGTCTTTTCAATACTCTAAAGGTATACAATTTTAAGCTCAGGTGTAGAAAATATATTTCTCAGTCACAGTGTTAATAAACTACTCACTAAACCATAGTGAGTTTTAAAAATACACATTTCATTTGGTGAAAAGACAAAAAAACAAACTTTCAAGCCAGTGCAACAATAATAATGTATATTTTGTACCTTTCTTTTCTTTATAAATAGTACTCATTCTCTGCAAAAACTGTGGAAGTTCATGCAACTCAAAAAAAAAAGAAAAAGACTGACAGCACCCAGCAAATGGAAAACAATATAAACCCATGCGCAAAGAAGCCAGCCACTTCCAAGGTCATTTGTGTTTAATGTCATCTTTACTAAGTGGTTATGTGAGAAATGGCTGGAGCAATATCATATTTATTTTTCTTCTGAATTTCAACAGAAATATTTTATAGACCAGCAGAGGAAGCATGAGAAAACCTCTGAGCGAGCAGCTGCTACCTACAGGAGAAAACGCAACAACAACCAGTCAGATTTTAAAAAACCTTCTGTACTTAAGGTAGGACATCAGTTCTGCACAGAAATGTTCTTATTACTTGTTGTCTTCAACTCACAGCTTTACATCTTTGCAGATACTAAGTGTTTATACACGTATTTGTTATAGATGGGTAATTCAGACTTAGATCATGTTTGATTTTTATAGAATTTACACAGCACATGTATAAGCAATCATGAACAAGTGGTAAATTTAAATGAGAAACGATGACATTCATAGGCTAACAGCTTCTCAGTTACAAGGTAGAACTTCCCTAAACCATGCCCTGCTTTACCCCTTTAACTCAACAGTGGAAAGCAATTTATAAAGATGTTAAACTATCAGCTGAGACCAGAAACTCACTAGAAAAACCCCAGATTTTTCTTATCAGACCTGGCAGCTATGTTTATCATATTTATACAGTCTTTGATCTGAATATATTTCAGTAGTTTATTATTTAACGTCAAAAGGAGAAATTTAATTTTTTTTGGCTGTATTTAGCTGAGAATATGCTGTGGTCTTAAATCTTCACCTGCAGGTTGTGTTTCTGAATGGATTTCACAGTATAATATGTTGTCATAAATAACATACTTTGTTCTCCAGCAGAGGCCTGAAAATGTTCCTCAAGAAACTTCAAAATTGAAAAAGACAAATGCCCAAGAACAGATGAGTTCATTGAAGGATTCCTGGGTTACTTGCCAGACCTCTTTCTGTCCATCCCCTCCTCTCATGGAAAAGATGAGATGTAAGATACAATAAAAAACGACTCTCTAGCGTCAGAGTTAGATAAGAGCCATTTGATCCCTCTGACAGCTGCTAATGTCTATTTAATGTTTAATGTTTGATCAAATGGTTTGTTAATTCCATCACAGTGGTGACATGTATCATGACCCCAATTCCCCCCTGACAACCTTAGACACTGTAAAATGTCAATAAAAACAGAATGCAGTGATTTGTAAATCATATTAACCCATATTTTGTTCACAATAGAACACAGAAAATAACATATTAAATGTTTAAACTGAGATATTTTACTATTTCATGAAAAATAATAGCTCATTTTGGATTTGATGGAAGCAATAAAAGGCTGGTAAACTAAGTGTGCTTAAAATGAAACCACTGGAGAAAGATTATGCACTTAATTAGATTGATTGGCACAGGTTAGTAACGTGATTTGGGGGTAAAAAGTGCATTTCTCAGAAGTAAAGATGACAGGTTCATCTGAAATTCATTTCAAAATGAACTTGAATTTTGTCTTAAAATGATACATTTTTCACTTCTTTCTATTCTGAATTAAATATGGGTTTATGAACTTTTCAAATCATTGGATTGTGTTTTTATTTTTCACTGCATTGCAATTTTTTCAGAATTCAGGTTGTACTTAATAGTCATTTTAACATTAGAAAAAAAAGTTTTCCTTTAGTGACACATATTTTTTCTTCAGCAGAAGAGTGGATGGTAATCTTTGATTTTCATTATTGTGTAGAAACATTGACTCTCAAAAGGTGAGATCGTCAGAAACGCTAACCTAACGTATTACTCCGAGTCATAATGATGAGTCTCGTTATCTTTCTTAACATTTATATTTGTAAAAAATTATACTCTTCACACAAAACCCCCTTTTTGTAACGCTGGTTCTTTATCAGCTGTTAGATATTTGTATAAACCCCTGTGAAACAATTTGGTGCCGGCAATGTGTGTTTCCATGGCAGTGAAACCTTTTCACTCTAAACACTTTATGTAAAGCATTGCATAAAGAAACCTTTTGCTCTCCAACCTCTATGTAGAGGAACTTGTATATATTGACCTTCTACTCTTTGTCCAACTTCTGAAGCCAGCTGTTTGAACATCTGTGCTTATTTTGGATCCCCGCAGCTGCTGATAGGTCAGTCCCAACCTTGGATTTGACCTGCTCCCCTCTTCTCACCCCGCGGGGATCCCCGCTGCCTGCCTCCCCTAAGCCTTCTTGCCAAGACACCCCCTCGCCAGTCCTGCTGCTACCCAAACCTAAAGTCAGAAGTAAAGAAATGTGCAAGTCTTCTTTCTACACTGCAGAAAAGAATCATGGCTCATCCAAGACTCATTCTAAGCAGTCTGTCCCTTCTCTCACTTCACTTGGAGGACAAATCCCTGCACCTCCGACTGAACTTAGTGCAGCAAAGGTACATCACCTTTCTGACATATTATGGCACTGTGGTAAGGTATCTGTCAAGGGTTAAAACAGAAAGAAAGTGTTTTAGGGTAGAAAAATACTTGTTTCACATTCACCCTAAAAAACGGCACAGTGCAAAATATATGAGTATGGGTTTTTTCTAATTCGTTGAGTTGAAAGTATATTTTTTTTATTTCTGAACATTGCTTCAGCAAATAGTGGAGTATTCCAGTGTGGGTGGTGTTCTGTTATTAAAGAAAATAAATAACAAAGTAAGATGGAAAGGGTAGTCACACCTAACTCAGCAAAAAGGCCAGAAGGGAAAGAGTGAGGAGGCCTTATTGATTTAATTTGTCTTTGCTCCTCTTTGTATAAAGTTAGTCCAGTATACTGCACATCTGTAGCGATCCGCCGTGGGCTGAGTTGTTAAATTCATCTGGACTCACCATAAAGATGTTTATACACTCATTTTGGCATCTTTGTCAGGTCTTTAAGCTATTCATGCACTAACTCTGCATAGATGTTATTGATGTCAGTCAACAGTCTTGTGAGAATCAGTAGCACAACTTGAATAGTAGCGTGAGTTATTATAACTCCCTCCCCTTAAAAACCTTATTTTGAACCTTGTCCTTTATAAGCAACTGGAAAGTTTGATTTGCAAACTGCTAAATTCTACTCCAGACAGTTATTTTCTCTAACATGAGATGGCTACGGCTAAACGAAGCCATTCTTATGAGTTAGCCATGTGAGGAATTCCTAATAAATAGATCTTTTAATTATGGGGAAATGCACATGATGATTGAAATGACCTACTTAATGCCGTACAGAGCAGATCATGGCTTTGCAGCACTTAATCTGTGCTTCTTCATGCATTGTGGGAAATGTCTTTTTCATTTATTGTCACTTATCTATGGCAGACATGATCATTAGCTAACCACAAAACGAGTTACCATATTTTTTTTTTGACATTATTTCTCATCACTTTCTGCCGCCTTCAATCTTCTATTTGTTTCCAGATTAGTACAATCGAACAGCATCTTTCTTCAGCACCTCATTCTCCTTTGTCCACTCGACCCCTGCTGACATCCACACTCCTTGAGCTGGACAAACCACCCTTGCCTTCTCCTGCTCAGTCACCATTTCCAAATGACACAATTAGCCATGGCCACCGCTGTAGTTTGAGTAATGTGTCTTCAATATCCCAGATTTCACTAAGCTTATCATCTATTAACTCATCAGTACTCACCAGCAAAGTTAAGGACGGTCCCACTGTTGCCCTGGCTCTATCTGTTAAAGCAGAGGTATTGGCTCTTTACTGATTTTTGGTTTCTTTTTTTGATTAATGTAACTTTACAGCTGAAGAACAAAAAAAACTTTAAGAACACTAAATCACTCAAACTAACTAACTCATTACTGTCCTCCTGATAGATGACGCCACTGTCAGACCAAGAGTCAAAACTCGCACAGTCTCATGTTTCAGGTAAAATAAACGTTTAACTTGTTTTTTGGGGGGGTTTGCCATAAATTTCCTGGTTGCTACAGTTTAATTCCACTGTTAGGTCCACTCTGCACCAAATTAAAGTTGCGCTTCATTATAAAATGCCATCCTATCTAATTGTCACATCTGATTTTTGAAACAGGGCCCAGCCGCAAGCGCCACATTTCCTTGTCTAGTGATTCAGAGGACGAGGAGACAGAAGAGAGTATGAGAAGCAAGATGAGAGGGAATCACTCTCCTCATTTGAAGCCACGGAAATTATTCAAGTCGTGTAAGACATATTCAGAGTCTCTTACATAGATAAGCACAGGAAAACCTTAACTACACATGCCTTAATCAGACAAGCTAACATGTGTTTCAACTTTGGCACAGGAAGTTTCTTCATGTGGTTTTTTTTTTTTAGATCAGGATTTTACTACATCCAAATCTAATCTAAGGTGATCTATCTGAATGTATTTTTTGGAACTATTTTGTTAAATTGACGGTGTTAAATTATATGTGATGTAAAAGAGATACACAGGAAGTCAAAATATTCCTTGCAGCACAGTCAAAACACCTTTGTTTTTTTATAACTATATGATTTAGGATGTAGTGAGGATATTTAAGATATCAGTGGCATCTTTAAAAGATCTGGTAAAAAAAACTATGAAACATTCTTGAATCAGAATTTGACCCTAATGTTGTCCTTTCTAATATGTTAATGTTCCTGTTTGTTACCTACAGTTGAGGTGCCTGCTGTGGATGAGTTGAGCCAGGTGAAGTCTTCCTCTGGTCATTGGGAGGGTGAAGTAACAGATGGAGACGTGGACATTGATGAAGGTTTAGATTTGCCAGAAATTGCTGTAAACCCAAGAAACATGTGTCAGCAGTTGAGCTCGGAGCTCAAGAAGAAGTTCCAGGTTGGAAATGTGTCCAGACATACAACATAGTTAGAGAATAGTGCTGCACACTACATTGCATCTGTGCTGTGTTCACAATTTAAAGGAACACTTAATGTTGTGAGAAATCTAGTATGTGGTAAACATGTATTTGAGACAGCAGTGTGTACTGCTGTTGAATGATTACTTACAAAACTGCTACATAACCATATATGTTCATGTTCAGAAACGTTACAGCATGATGGAGCTTTACAACAAGCAGTCTTTGAAGACCGTCCAGCAACACGTCTCTTCCATTAATATGCAAATTACCAAATGCAGGTCAGTTAGTTTGTCAGTGTGTAAATGAACTATAAGTCTGATCTTTTCGGTTAATATGCAACATTTGTTATCGCCAACCTTTAATTAATTTGATGGCCGATAGCACACTAACAGAGAAGTCCTGAAAGGCAAGTGAGAATCTATAGTGATCATTTTATTTTAACCTAAATTATTTTCTCTTGTGTGTTCATAACTGGAGAATATGAAAAAGAAAGATTTGGCAGAATAATCTATTCAAAAAAAAATGTGTATCTGGGCTTCTTCACACAGGGGTCCTTAGCAAATGTGAAATCTAGTTAGAAGTCAGTTTGCTGTGTTAATAAATCCTTTTTATGTTTTATTGGCTACAACCCTACAGTGGTCTTTCGTGAGTGTGATAGGGCACTGTAACCTTTGTTTGTATTTCCTTGTAGATTTCTACTTTTCTGGTTAATTGTCTGTCCTCTCTACAGGACTCAGAGGCTTAAACAGATTCAGAAGGTCCTCCTGGAGGAGATACACAAATTGGAGCAGGATGACACTGTGCTGAAAAACATGGATAATGACCTCACTGTAGGTTATTCTGACTCTGTCTGCCACATAGAGAAAATGCAGAAAGCGATATTAAAAACAAAATATCCAGCCATACAATGTTCTGTTGAATAATACCTGCCGCCAGGATGATCTGTTGTAGATTTGACCAGTGCCAATGGTTTTTCCTTATACAGATGTACTGGAAAAAACAGATGACGGCTTTCCATTCTTACCAGAAGCAGGAAATCACAAGGTGAAATTAAAGCGTGTGTTTGTGTGTGTTTGAGTACTAAAAGAGTCTTATAATTCTGTTTTCCACACTCTGATCAATGGTGTCCTTTCAGGTTTAAAGAAGAATACACAGAATTATCTAATTTTTCTGTTGGAAGAAAGATTAAAACTTTTGATTTGAAAAAAGCTTTTTTCATTAAGCTTGAAATCATCAACTATTCTTCTTCCTATCATTTAGCTGGGGTTATCGTAAGCATTCCCTCCATAGTTACACTGCTAGTAGCTGAAAATAAAAATAAAGCACCCCCATTTATCAACTTCCCCCATATGGTAATTAACACACATAATCTATACAGTCGTTTCAGATATGTCTGACTTCGTCACTCAGTGAGTATATGAGAAACCAATATCAGTATTATTCCTTTGATAAACATATATTTTATTAATTGCCATTTATGCCCTCTGTTTTAAAAAAATTCCATATGCAGTTTATTATGCTGCTAACTCCTCGAATCTGAGAAGGGATTGTATTAAATGGGTCCTTTAGCCACAATACTCTGCAGTCCATACTTGTGTCACTAATTTGTCGTTTGTTCTTTGTTATCTTGGTAGTTCCATCCTGAGTGACACGATAGCCACGAAAATATTTAAAAATGTGTAAAAGAAATCAGATATACAGCTCCATGGTTGTCTGTCTCCTTATTTCCAGAAATGAGCTCCTGAAGAGAGCGCTTCAGAGTAACACGTGCAACAGCTTGGAGTATGAGGAGAGAATATTCACATCTGAGGTGTGATCCTCATGCATAGACTTCACAGTATATCTAATATTTGCTTCATTGTGTTGCTTGAGTGCAGTCTGTAGCTGTAACTCAAAATTCAGCTTTGAATAATCAGTGTTTATGTGTTTTAATTTAGAAGAGGTCATCTGCCTGTCAAGCTGTCTATCAAATATGACTTTTGCTGAGTGGCCTTTGTGACATTTTGCTATCTCTTTTATTCTCCCCCTGTGTGTCCTGACTGTGTCATATTCTTTATTACCACTCCCAAAAACCCTGCTGCTGTTTGTGCTGTTTTCAGATGTGCACGATCAGAAAAGACATGAAGTCAGTTCAGGACAAATTCCTCAGTGAGATGGTGAGTATGAACAGGTGAAACTTCAGGAAACAGAGAAGAGCTGGGCTTGCATTGTGTGTCTTTAATGTTGTGTCCATCACTCTGTCAAAAGAACAATGGTTCTGTGAAAGCTTGTGCATAAGCACGTACCATTGAAAGAAAAGTATGACTCAGATGATGTTGTGTAAGATCTCAAATTAAGCGTCTTTCTCGAATGTTTCTTTGTGTCCTTTATAGCTGGAGGGAGAGCTCCAGAGAGTCAAGAAAGGACTGCATGCTTTGTTCTTCCCCTGATGAGGGAGCCGGGTTTGAGTTCAACACTGTCCCGGAACGCAATAAAGCAGGTTGTGTGTTTCGTGCTGTCCTAGGCAGTTCTGCTGTGCTCAAAGTATTTTCATGCAGTGTTTATTTTTCTGGATTCTGCTTTGATTCCATGCAGATGTCTTTGGTTTATTCTAATGGTGCTTTGTTCCAGTGTTTGGGATTTTATTGGAAATGTTGTGTTCTGGTGTTATTTTATGGCTTTTATAAATTGAATAAGTTTTGGTGTTATTGTAAGCTCTGCCATGCTATTCATTGACTTGACTCTATTTTTAACCCTAATTCTTGATTTATTCATTGAAGCTTGTTAAGTACTAGAAATGGTCAAGTAAACTTTCAAGATCTTAATTGTATTGATTGTTTTTTAATAACTCCTCTACCATATTGTTAAATGAAAATAAAGTTGTTTTAAAAATAAATGAGGCAGCACAGTTTAAAAAAAAGGCCTTGTATTTTGAAGACAAGTAAGTGCTTACAAAGGTATTTCTCTTTTCAGTGAAGACGTCGACGGTCCCATTCTGATTGACATACTGTATGTACAGTTAATATCAAATTCAACCCCCAATGCCACCTCCCCCACGCTGCACAGTCTTTACACAGTCTTGACACATTATTCATCAGTTAAGAAAAGGTGAAGCTGGTCACATGCACAACTTCTTCCCACTACACAGATTCACACAATCTTGTCAGGAGTCCATGAATTAGTACAAAAAAAAGAAAAAAAAACAATGACTGAATGACAAGATTGTTTTGTTTTTGTTTTTTTAATACTCTGCTCTTGTCCTGAGAGTCAGAGGCTCCACCAAAGTCTCTTCCACCTGCCAGTTTCCACGTTTGGCACTCAGCAGTCTCCAGGACACGCCAGTGCTAACATTACCATCATCATCTCTCCCATACCCGTGACTTCATACTGATAATATGATGGTCAAGGGTGGCGGAAGATTCTTAAAAAAAGGCGCGCCGAAGACAGAAAGGCTCCGGGCTCTTTGAACTGTCGCCACTGAGCAGCTTCTAGCAGCTTCAGGAAATGTCAAAGCTCAGCATTTCTTCACAGAAGAAACTCCACACTTTCACGGTCGGTGGAACCTGGAGAGACAAATAGAAAGAAAGGGAATAGAAATAAATGGTGAGAGCAAGAGGGTGCCTTTGTTACCAGATGCCCTTCTGTTATTGCAGCCATTAATCAGTTCTATGGCTCTATTTTTAGCACAGCCGTTTACAGTGCTGAGAAGCCAGGCACGTACACTCCTACCCTCCCTCTAGGTCACTGTTACAACTCACGAGGTCTCGTGCTTTTCAAACATGATTAAGCCGAGGACACGGTGGCCTTTCATCATGCTTTGCTACCTGGTAGTGAGAACTCTCTGGAGGACAACCTCCCCCTCCCCATTATAGCACTCCCATCTATCTTTAGCTCCTGCATGCACCTCTGTATGCTCAAGGAGAGCTAAATTTAGACTGCTGCAGCTTAGAATAGAGCATCAACCCATGCATGCATGTTCTTCCAAACACAGGCAGGCGTTTCCAAATGCTGACCTCGTTAGATGTTTGCTTGAGGCATGCACTTCCATCTCGGTGCTCTTAAACTCGTTCAGCTCTTTCCGGATTGCAGCCTGTTGGGAAGAGGAAAAAATGCATCAGTGCATCAAGCAGCAAAGCAACAACAGGAAGAAAGAAATATATATATATATTTGTGTATAAAATCAGGCTAAAAAGTTTAAAGAGGACAGGGGATTTTGTGAGATAAGCTGATAACAGCAACTTGCAGTGCTGGATAGCCTGAGTAATAGGTCAATGGGGAATTTGGGAAAAGATGTTGGGTATTTGTTTAATCCAACTGACTTAAATAGTGAAATTGATTTTGGCGATAAGTCCTGAGTGAGTGGTGGCAATAAGACATAGAGATCAACGTGATGTGACTGCACTATCCAATACATACCTTGTCTGCTGCTGACAGACGAGTCCAGGGCTTGTCTGCTCTCCTGTCGTAGTCCTGAGCTTTAGCTACCTCCACATAGTCACTGAAGCGGATGAGGATCTTTCTGTCCCGCAGTTCATCTACCGTGGGCCGCTGGTTGAGCTGGAAGAGACAAGAAGGTGCCAAACATTTGTCACCGTCTGTTGTTTACATTGAAATAACCAGAGCATCAGAACAGTGTATTTAATAGAAACGGAGTCTCACCTTTCTGTTTAGCCGCTGTTTGATCTCCCTCCTCTCCTCTTGTTCTGTCTGGTCGTTTCTCTCTAAGAAAGTAAAAACAGCTCCTTTTAAAAATTCATAATTACATTTTTAAAAAATGAAGAAAAAAGTGTACTCATGCGTTGTTTACTGCGCTGATTAATGCATGCGCTTGATGTATTAAATATGGCATGCCTCTCTGTGAGATACTTCGCTGTGAGTGAAATATTCGGGAGTAGTTTTGCGGTGTTTGAACTCACGTTTCAAAATGTTCCGACTCTCCAGCTCCTCCACATTCGGTCTCTGGCTCAGCCTCCTGCGGAGAAACACCAAAACCACGTTTTGAACCATCGTATCTTCAGATAACCTGTCCGGTCCTCTTTAAACGGGCTGCAGCTTCTTCGCTGTGCGCGTTCTCGAGAGGAATCCCCTATGTTTCCATCTCGCATCCAAACCGCGGCTGTGAGACTTCAGCGGAGGCGCTCCCCACATCTGGAACAATCAGCGAAGCGAATTCTCCTTTTTTGTTGTTGTTATTATTATTTTGAGAAGTCTGCTAATTATTTCTCGGGTACTGTGTTCTGCATCTCAGATGCGGTAGTATCTGCTGCACAACGCCGCAGCAGTGAAGGCTCTCCTCTCTACTACTCGCTACACGCGCTTTTCAACTGGGTCGTGATGAGCTGCTGGTGCGCGACTCCCCCCAGTCTCCCTGGTTACTGCATGCCGAATTAATGGAGGCGGGGCATAGCGGGCTCTCGCTAAAGGCATCCCCAGCCTCCTCCTGATGTGCGCTGGACTACTGCCACAGTCATCTCTCACCCTCTTTGTTGCACCAGTTGAATTCAGTTTTTCCTATTTTGTTTTTGTTTTTTAAATGAGGAAATATTGTTATAAAAAACATAATTTACTTTGTGATATAATACAATCTCTTAGTGGTGGTGCTCAAATGACTGAATTTAGGCTCCCACATGCTGACCCATCACCATCAAAGAGCCCAAAAGGTCTTCAAAGTTCAATATCTTTTGCTGCTGCTGACATTTATTATTTATACAAAGGGCTCAGCTTCAGACAGCGTGCGGCACACATCACAGTGCACCTCTACAGGTGGAAAGGACAGAGAGGGTAGAGCACAGCAGGGCTCTCTTTATCCTTTTGACCAAACCAATATTTGGACTCTTTATAGTTCTTGTTCTGTAACAGATCAAAGTTAAGTCACATAGAACGAGCTGAATGAGGTTTTGTATGTTTATCGCTGGATAGATGGGCACATAGCAGCCAATTAAATTGTTGTATTCTAAAAGTCTGTTAATACAATAGAAAACCACATCTGTGAGAGAGCTGTTTTCACCATCCATGCACAAACTATGCAGGTCTCTGTTGCACTGTGTAATGAGCATTAAGCGCAAACTCATTTTCTTGACGTGCCTTTTAATTAAGGGACACAAAACTGGCAGAAAAAAAAGATAGCGGAAAAATCTGGTGTGTGATTTTTATTTTTTCAGATGCTCTCAAATGCTGTGTTTTTAGTCAACACTGCATAGGATAATGAGTACATCCAAGCAACAAGTCTTTGTTAATTAACATGTGTGACCAGACACAGCACGTGGAGTCGCATGAGGAATTATTCAATAGCTTGGCTCCCTTGGTGAGGTCTCCTCTGAGACGTGTGATTAGAAATGGAACAAAAAGCAGAAGGGTGTCTACAATGATTACAGCATTTTGTTCCATCAGAATATGAGGATCCCATCTTTATAAACATATACATGCACACATATGTATTTATTAAGCCTTACTTAATTTTTTTATGTATATTTGTGTGAATGCCAATATCTTAAAACCTCATTGGGGGGAAACAGCCCAACGTGCTGCTTTTCTTTGCCTCATGACTCTTCGATAAACAAAGAAAAAGTGTTCTCACAGCTCCGAGGATATTACATTTTAAACACATGGAACAGGAATATCGCTTCCAATGCCCTAGTGGATGCCACCAGCCACACTATTATTGACCTGATCGCCTTGTTGCTTAGCAACGATACTTGGTATCCTTAAGACAATACAGTCTTCCTGCACAAATTCTCTCTTCTGCCTAGTAACACAGGGGAGGGGATTTCACTACTCCAGAAAGAGCCCTATGCGCTTTATGCAGAAGCTGTGGCTATTTTTAGAAACAGCCCCTTAATTATATTTTTTTGGTCTTTGTGGGTGAGTTGAATAAATAACACATTACTGTCAAGATTGGATGCTATTTTGGTGGGCAAATGAGATTTCCTTGTGAGATGTATGAATCACGAAAGCTACATTACCCCTCTGCTCTCAAGTGAGGAGATTTTATATTTTGGGGAACCCTGAATATCCACACTCTGACTCATAACTGTAACGCTACATCACCCACCGCTTTCTGAACGAGAAGAAGTAAGATGTTTAAAAGGGATCCCCCAGAATACTGCAATGACGCATAAACGCCCATCGGTTTAGGGATCTCCATTAGACACTTGAGTTGAGATGTTCGCAGGAAAATGAGTTAAAATAGAAAACCAAACTATGCCTGCCGGGGGAGGAATACAAAAAAAATCAAAACAATAGAAACGCCCATGTGTGGTTGATGGAGGCGCTCGATCTTTTGTTTCAGCTGCCAACTGCAACAAGGAGACGAAATTGGCCATTCCAAGCTTCCTTCATGTTTCAAGTACAGTAGCAAACCCCCCACCCCCTCCTGCTATTATTTCTGCTGCTATAACTCCCCGACATTTATGGAGAGGAGGGAGCGCATGGGGAGATGCATTATTGAACAGTGTCAGGAGCTAAGATTGGAAACAGCACAGTATGACTGCAGCACAAGTGCCAGGTGGTGCGATTCTAAAGATAGAAAGGTCATTTATCACTGACAGGATGGATGATCATTCAGCATGAGTACAGAGAGGTAGATTTTTTTTTCTCTGCCGCTTAACTCATATGAATTGTATTGAACCCAGATCATTCTACAAACCTGGGCAGTGCAGAGGTTCACCCAAATAAGACTGCTTTGGGTATCCCCACTGATGCTCCTTTGATTTATGGCTGTCTAAATTCTTTACAAAATGAAATCAAGAAGGAGTAGTTCAGCAAAAGCCAGTGCTCTGTATATACGTCTTTATGTAACAACCGCTGTGCTACAAGTGGAACTTCTCCGTCTTGAAATATAGACCCTGAAGCGCTTATGTAAGCT